TGGTGATCAGATTGATACCACATGTGATAATGAGGTAATAGAAGATGATGAACAGAATTTAGTCACATGTGATAAGGAAGTAAAAGAAGATCATCAACAGAATGAAGCCACAAGTCATAATGAGGTAATAGAAGACGATGAACAGAATGAAGCCACAAGTGATAATGAGGTAATAAAAGATGATGAACAGAATGAAACAACAAGTGTTAATGAGATAAAAGAAGATGATAAACAGAATGAAACCACAAGTGATAATGAGGTAATAGAAGATGAAGAACACAATGAAACCACAAGTGATAATAAGGTAATAGAAGATGATGAACAGAATGAAGCCACAAGTGATAATGAGGTATTAGAAGGTGATAAACAGAATGAAACCACAAGTGATAAAGAGGTAATAGAAGATGATGAACAGAATGAAATAGCAAGGGATAATGAGGTAATAGAAGATAATGAACACAATGAAACCACAAGTGATAATAAGGTAATAGAAGGTGATAAACAGAATGAAACCACAAGTGATAAAGAGGTAATAGAAGATGATGAACAGAATGAAATAGCAAGGGATAATGAGGTAATAGAAGATGATGAACACAATGAAACCACAAGTGATAATGAGGTAATAGACGATGTTGAACAGAATGAAGCCACAAGTGATAATTTGATCATCTTCTAATACCTCATGATCATTTGTGGTTTCATTCTGTTCATCATCTTCTATTACCTCATTATCACCTGTTGTTTCATTGTGTTCATCTTCTATTACCTCATTATCACTTGCTGTTTTATTCTGTTCATCATATTCTATTACCTCATTATCATTTGTGGTTTCATTCTGTTTATCACCTTCTAATACCTCGTTATCACTTGTGGTTTCATTCTGTTCTTGATCTTCTATTACTTCATTATCACTTGTGGCTTCTTTCTGTTCATCATTTTCGATTACCTCATTATCAGTTGTCATTTCATTCTGATCTTCATCAGTTATTACTTCATTATCTCTAGTGGTATCATTGTGTTCATCATCTTCTATTACCTCTTTATCACTTGTGGTTTCATTCTGGTTATCATCTTCTAATACCTCATCATTTGTGGTTTCATTCTGTTTATCACCTTCTAATACCTCCAGAATGAAACCACAAGTGATAATGAGGTAATAGAAGTCGTTTCATTCCGTTCATCATCTTCTATTACCTCATTATCACTTGTGGCTTCATTCCTTTCATTGACTTCTATTACATCATTATCACTTGTGGTTTCATTGTTTTCATCATCTTCTACTACCTCATTATCACCTGTGGTTTCATTATATTCATCATCTTCTTCATTATCACATGTGGTATGAATCTGAACATCATTTTCTATTACCTCGTTATCAATTGTGGTTTCATTGTGTTCATCATCTTCTTTATTATAACATGTGGTATCAATCTGATCATGATTTTCTATTTCCTCATTATCAATTGTCATTACATTCTGTTCTTCATGTTCTATTACATCATTATCATGTGTGTTTTCATTCTGTTCATGATGTTCAATTACCTCATTATCACTTGCTATTTCATTTTGTTCATCATAAAGTGATAATGATGTAATAGAAGATAAAGAACAGAATGAAATAACAACTGATAATGAGGTAATAGAAAATGGTGATCAGATTGATACCACATGTGATAATGAAGACCTGTGGTTTCATTATATTCATCATCTTGATAATGAGGTAATAGAAGGTAATGAACAAAGTAAAATCACAAGCGATAATGAGGTAATAGAACATGATGAACAGAATAAAACAGCAAGTCATAATGAAGTAATGCAAGATGATGAACAGAATGAAACCACAAATGATAAAGAGGTAATAGAAGATGATGAACACAATGTAACAGCAAGTGATAATGAGGTAATAGAAGATG